GGGTATAAATAGCGGAACCTTTCAGTTAGAATCGATTCCTTGCGATGAAGGCAAGAATGACAACTGTATCAAAACCGAATACTTCATCATTTCTCAATAGTGATGGAGTAATACGACATGCACTAAACTAAGGACACGGGATATACTACAATAGATCAAATTACTGGTCGCAGTGGTGTTATGTCCCGAACAGAGGAAAAAAAAAAAAAAAAACCACTTCGAAACTTTAAGAGCACAAATATCAGCTTCTACGACACGTGCAACATTTAAATTGTTACTCCGCATTTGCTACTCTGCAGTATACATGAAGTAGCAATTTCAAATGAAATGGAGCACTGCTTTCCAAGATTTGTGTAATTGAAAATTCTAAGTGGAAGCAACAATCAATACGAAACTAACGATTTTAAATTGGCTCACCACTTTAGTAGCCTATTGGTCCCAAGCAAACGATTAACGTACCCTATTCTAGTTGAAATTCTATTACTACACTATGTTTGTTTTGATTCGCTATGAAAGTTTGACAGATAACATCAGGGGTGTGTGGATTCATGCAGAACATGCAGGGGTGAGTGAAATAGCTTGGGACTGCTTGGGACCGTTGTTCTGGTACTGAGTGAGCCAAAAATAATAATGATTTTCTTCGGGACCCAGTGGTCTTAGAGTTACCTCTATGGTGGAAGTGCATGTATAGCCTACATGGCGGCCATTTGTGGACTCAACATGGAATCACCTTAATGGGTATCAAGAAAAAAACAATGCAAGCAGTAATCGATAAAAGAACAGCGGATCATTTAAGGCGTATTTCGACAACTCTTACACCAGTAACAGAGGATTTAAGGGGGGAAGTACAATTAGAATTTTTTTTTTCGAAAAAATTTTTGTTGGCTTAATTTACTCTATATGTATCTGGGAATGAGCCTTTAAAAGCATAAACCATCCGGAACTTATTTAAAAAGTTATACGCAATTCAGTGAGTGCATGTCAAATGGCTGAACATGTCAAAGTTGAACTTTAAATGCTTCTACTGAAAAGTAGTGTTTTCAAAATCGCCGTGCAATGTACAGGTCAGAGTTTTCATTCAAATCGATTCCGGTTTTCTGTTTTATGTTCATAATTAAATTCTCCACAACATGAATAGAAAGATTTTTTAGATTTGTTTGTTATAACATGTTTTTTTTTTATAAACAAAGTCGAAAAAAATAGGGTTTTTAATTTTTTTTTCAACTTCAAATTTTTTTGTGAAAAAAACATTATTTTTACATACGAATTAATTCATGTTGTGCGCTGTACCTTCAAATTTAAAGTCCTGTTTTTTTTTGTTTCAGACGTTATCATGGACGTAGGGACTGCACGGCGCGAAGTGCTGCTTTAAAAAATTGACTTCACGTTATTTATAATAATTGGGCTAAATTGCAAAATTTTAAAAAAATGTCACTGATAATTAATCTTCATTAAATCCTTAATAACATACATAAAGAATCGCTAACATTCATTTATTTCCCTACTCGCAATCCACTCTCAAAGATAGGCCTCATTTTAGGCCTTCTAATTGTACTTCCCCCCTTAAAACGGGTAGCGGTGAATTTCGACAAAAATATTACCAAACCATTGATTTCGAAGTTTAGAAGTTTTGGCCTAGATTTAGTATTCAGCAGCAGGACAAATCAGCTGAAGTCACTAATAGGATCAACAAGAGATTCAATAAATGTCTTAGGGAAAGCTGGAGTCTACAAAATCTCTTGTCCAGATTGCAATAAAACCTACATTGGTCAGACGAAAAGGACTTTGGAAACAAGGTTTAAGGAACACATCGCAGAGGTAAAAAAGGCTAACAAAGAGATGGATAAAGGACTCCATTATGAATTTAAATCCAAGGTTGCAGAACATATCTTTACAAAGGGGCACAATTTGACAAAGGATAACATTAATATCCTGCGGAGTGTATCTTCGCCTTGGAAACTAGACGTAGCAGAAAGTTTAGAAATATTTAAACATAATCCATAAACATTGCATAATAGAGATCAAGGAAACGGATACTTGAGACTCTTTAGCATGCTACCTAAAACAACACATCGTAGCATCATAGGTAGCATACCTCTAGAGCAGGTACAATCGCGTCATTTGCCGCTCAAAGGTAAATGCTTCGAACGAATTTGATAGCAAAGATTACATCCTCAGAAGAAAGGTTTGTGTATTTGCTCATTTTTCTATGCGTTGCTTCCACCTTAACTCAAGCGCAGCGCTATTGTATCTGTCGCTTGGATTCTGGCAAAGTTGCCAGTATTCTTGATATGGTGTCTTCGGTATAAGTCTAATGATTTTTTTTTCTAATTCTGCCTTTTCCGAGATGAACTCAAAGATTTAAATCGATATTTATGATGACTCACCACCCACGTATTATTTTAGGCTCGTTTTACTTACAACACTTGTATATATGCCATTAATATTGAAATTAATGTTTACATTTCCGTTTTCAATTTTTCAATAAACCATCCATGAAAGCTTGAAGTTGTAAACAAACAATCTCAAAAGTCATAACTGCAGGGTTACAAAACTCATGGTATACTGAGACTGACACATTGGCGCGTTCGACAACGCTTGGCACAGTTTGTGGGACAGATAAAGTACTCGGCACTGATTAAGATGTGCAGAGTTGAGTACCCCTTGGGATCAACTTAATTTGAAGTTTTTGGATTTTCCCGTTCATTGAAAATTCGTAGCTCATGAACAAATGATCAATAGTGAAATGATAAAGAAATCATCTTAGCAATCCGTATAAAAAGCAGAATAAACTATTTTCTGAGTGATGATTGGGTTAAAACTATTTTATTCATGTTAAAAAAAAAACATTTACTGGAGATAATTTCCAGATTTTCCGGACTTTTAATAGGTGAGGTACATGTCACGATACGGTACCACTCACCACATAAATGCCATGAATTTCTAGAAATCAACGAGAGAAGCCATTGTTTACAAAAGCTGTTACGCCCTTATTTCAGCTCTATATAGACTTATGGCTATAGCGCCATTACTCGCTTTCTGAAAAGAGAAGCGTGAAAGGAAAAGAAGAAGGACAAAGGGAAAAGGATTATGTGAAATCTATGAACATAAACAATATTTTTGATTTGAAATATACAATATAGAAATGCATAACGGCGCAAGGTCACTGCCCGAGTCTTGTCACTATTATACTGATCAAGTCATAAACAGTAACAAGGACTAAAATGTGACCCTTTGATTACTGGAAAATCCTAATTCCCTAGTTTGAAGTTGTCACGACAAGGGTTCAGTGGTAGATCTTATACCAGTAACGCACCACAAAAAGGTGATTTCCCAACGTTACTCGTTTTTTTATATTAATTTATTTGTACAGGCTCAACCGAATAAACTTTACAGAGCCGAGTTATCATTTGCATTATACATGATTAATGTCTTAAATCTAGAGTTAAAGGAATTGAACCGATTACTCGCGGTCGTCTCGAGGTTAGTGGAGATTTACAATTTTTTGGATGAGGAAAGGAAGAAGGAGGTTTGAAATATGATTGATTATACACATATTTAATTAATCCTAAAACATGAACTTATTTCTATTCATCTTGAAAACAAACACTAAAAAGAAAACTACACGCACAATACACAAACTAAACACAAGGTTAATCAAACTTACAATCTAAGGTTAGTATTCTTAAAGTAAACATATATGAGTTTCATAAACTCCAGATCACGTCTAGCCAAAATATCCCGAACTGGAACATTAGGTTGTCTACCTCGAGCCCGAAGGGAATCGCGCAGCTCAGATCTGACTCCACGATGCTCAGCACAAGACCAAAGGATGTGATCGGCGTCTTGGTAACCTTGTCCACATTCACAGAGATAACTGTCTCCCAGCCCAACACGAAACAAGTGAGCGTTTAACGAATAGTGATTGGACATGAGGCGAGACATCAGACGAATGAAGTCTCGACCCACATCCAACCCCTTGAACCAAGGACTCTTCGACAACTTAGGGATGATCGAGAATAGCCATCGTCCCAAACTCCCTTCACTCCATTTATTTTGCCAGTTGACGAGCGACTACGTTACTCGTTTGAAAAGATAAAAATTTACAAAATGGAACGAACCCACCAAGTTTAGCCAATTGAACCTGAAGGCTCCCTGGCATGTGTTGATGTAGAAGTCCAAATTGTAGACGAAGCTTGACGAAGATCAGCATGAACTAGTCCGGTTTATGGTAGTTGCGCGGAATGTCTTCCTTCGATTTGAGATAAACAAATGTTCGGATGTATGTAGTCGATTTTTGATGTGCATTGGCAAGCCTTTTCGCGGCCAATAGTCAGGTTCAACGCTGCGACTCAACGAATGATGGAACTTATGCTGGGACGCCTCGTGGAGGTTCTACTTGGCTTCGAAACAGCTTCTCAGCGGCAAATGATAGGGACCTAGAATGAGGAACTAGAAATTGTCTCCTGAGCCTGGTTATGGCCAGATCAGTAACCGATTATAGATAAAAAAAAACTCCACGGAAAAAACAAACGTCAGGTTCGAACACACGCACAGCCTACTCTCCCCAGTCTGAATAAGGCATTACTGTATTTCCAAACATCCTCTCCCCCCTTAGAGCGTGACCTACTTAATGTATCGTCCCAAAATTGATGATTTAGCACCAAGATAGGTCAAGTATGTTAAGTGAAGTACTTGCGTCTCCATGGATTTGCACCTATTCAAAATTTCCCTTTGATTTCATGGAGATGCCGCATCGTATCGTATCGTGGTATCGTGAGTGTTGAATGGTTGTGATAAAATCTTACGAAGCGACTACTATGGGGACTGACCGAATCGTGTCCTGTTCGTCCTACCACCCAACCGACGACGAAGACGCTGCTGGACCCGATCGGATGCGAAGTACGGCAGCCAGCCAACGACAGGATAAAACCAACGAGCGTCCCACCGTAGGCAACCAGACCGATTTGGTACGCGCTGCCGAACGGAAAACCTTCCATCAGTGGAAAAGCTTTCGAGCCTCGATTGGCATTTGTTTGTGTGCGTTACGTAGGTATATCCACACACGGTTCCGGAGTGTGCGGTTTTGTGCGTGTGTGTGCGGGGTAAATATTCTCACATCTTGCAGTCAGTCAGTGTGTGCCATTTGCGCCTTTTTTTTTGCCATCGTTTCCAATTTTTGCAGTGCTGTCGCGTGCTGTTTACGAATGCCAGGAAAATGTGGTGTTTTCGTTGGAAAATGAGTGAAACGGGGGGAGAGGGGTGGTTGTTGCTAGACCAATGTGTTTGTGAGTGAGTGTGGCTCTGCGCGTATTTTCGTCGTGTCAACTCTAGTGCCACTACAGCGACGGTGACGACGGTCTCGTGTTTGCAATAAAACGCTAAAAGCTATATCGTTCCCATACACGTTTCGGAGGTGAAGCTTTCTCACTCACTTGGTAGTTTTACACCTAGCTTATATTATTGTGAAATCTACGATGACTGATGAACGGACGGACGGGGAGCACCGCCAAGGAAAAGTTTAACTACTTTGCAGCTATATTTCCACGTCTCGTGCTGCGTAACGTATTGCTTTGCTTGCCACCTGGGAGGAGGCGCGCGGGACACGCTCACATCCAACATGTTTAACCTTCTGAAGAATCACTTTTTCTAGCTGGAGGCAGCCTGCAAAGATTCAACGTGGGATGTCAAAGTGTAACGCGGTTTGGCGTTGAAGGATATTTTTGTTCTTCGCTTTCCCAGTGTATTGTTTTGCAGTTTGAGTCGCCTCCCCACCGGGAGTTAATGGGGGGGAATGCGCATTCATAAGAATTAATTAAATTCCAGTTTGTGAGCTGTCGGTGGTTGGCTTCGTGATAACTTTTGTTTTTTGTTTTTCGTTACATTTCCACAGCTTCAAAACAAAGTTCTCGCGTACCTACACACGGTGGTAGTTACTCCCTTGTGGGTCACTTTGGGACTGCTGCTGTTGGTATGAGGTGTTTTTTTTTGTAAGTTGGAGCTCTTACCAACAATATGATTGTAATTTTAGAATAAGAAAAACGTAAATGGTGCATTAATATGGTTGGCAAAGTTCAAAATATCACCTACCAGCTGGGTACCGATCCTGATTCACATATCATCCACTTTTGCATTAAACAACTTTAATTCAGAAACTACAGTCAACTCTTCCATGTGTACTCTGAATATGTAAATTTTTCTGTGTACTGTTATTTTGATTTCATAATTGTAGATCCTTTACAGCAAGCGTCAGTATAAGTTTACCATCCATCTAGACAAAAGATTATGGTAAATTACCCAAAAATATTCTTTCTAGTTTTTGCGAAACCAATGCGCGATCAAGTGTCCCCAGGGATCAAGTATATCCAGTCTACCCCTACACATAGATTTAAAATAACATATTCCTTAATTTTGATTCTATGAAACCTTTTAAAGGGATATAGATTTTTATTTAGTGATCCATCCTCGTACTCATAACTAAAATTTCAAATGGTATTTTCGTAATTCTATCTGCGGTAATACATTATCCACATCAGAGTAGGTTGGAAATGTTATCTAACATGAAGCTTTAGTGTGATAAATTATTAGATAGAGAATGGTTTTAGAAGAGGGTAGGTAGATAGTTCCGTAAGAGTACGGCAGTATGAAAATTGAATAGAAGTTGCAAATGAGCGAAGGGCCATTAATGCGACAGTGAAAGTCAAACGCACACTCTTTGCCTAACCCGTACGATGTACACGGAGATTTGAAGTACCGTCAAACAGGGTAGCATTGATAGTTTTTTAAAGTATATTCTAAATATTTTATTACAGCAATGAATGTTTTTCAAATTTTATATTTTTAAAACAAGTAAATACTGAAGATCCAAGAGTTAATTCGTTAGTAATATGTTTAACGGAAATTAAGCATTTACACTATTTTTTTTAGTTTTGTGACCGAACTTCAGTATTTTGATTTGGGGTTACTTTGATAATGGCTATAGCATTTCCAATCAACTCTGAAAATCGTAAACTTCGCGTATGAAGTAACATAAAAACACTTTGAATTAACCAAATGTATCCCAAAAAATCCAAAATGCGTTTGAGTATGAGCATTGACAATCATACCTTTCGTAGTTGCTACTCTGTGATTGACCAAATCCAGCAAAAATTGCACAATGAATCATATGAATTGGGTTTGAGATTTGCAATCCATTATCAGTGTAAACAATTCGGTAGATCATTGCTTTCAATGTCAATAACGGGGCCGGTCACGTCTTTACGGCCATCGAGGAGGTAAAGGATTGATATTTAACATTTCTAACCAAAAATTCTTCAAATGGTTAAGAGAATAAAGGCCCAAGCGCAATGACGGCGGAAGCGGAACGGCAACGGCAGTGGAAAAGCCCGATCTGAGTAAGCCTACTTGTCGGATTTAAAGCTAGTTAGATCCAAATCGACTTCGGTTAGGCATCTTGATGTCATTAGTGACAACTGTCAAGCTTTCCGTTTCCGTTCCGCTTCCGCCCACATTGCGTTTGGGCCTTAAATAAGGCCCGTAATGTTGCCTACTGTCAAACGTATAGGATTGGTATGGGGTTGCCAGCCTCCTGGTTGCTCCTGCCTAGTCTTCCGTCGTTTGCAGTTTCCTTCCACTTCCATCGGCGTTGACGGCACCGCCGAAAAATCGTCTCTTCTAGCAAAGATTGACAGTTTCTTATGGGAATATTCAGTGGAGTGAAAGGATAGTACGAAGTATAGATACTATAGATTCCATAGATAAGCGGAGGTAAATTAGAATGTAGCCAAACGAGCTGTAAGTTAGTGTAGCCAAACGAGCATGGCGTTATCATAGTCTTTTCTGCGGGAGAAGTATAGACTTCTCTGACGTTTGTGAAATGCGCAAGTATTAGTGCAGAAATAGGGGTAAATTATAAGTATTAGTGCAAGAAAACCTTTGAATTCACCCAAAGTTCTGCACTAATACTTGTGCAATTCATAAACGTCAGAGAAGTCTATTGTAATATTATGAGCACTAGCGTGCACAGGAATCTTGTTAAGGAGGGGCAATTTTTTTCTATGGTGCATTTAATCTGGGGATGGAGAGTACTCCAAAGTGCGTGGGAGATGGTGCTGTCCACCCACCACTATTTCCCTACTGTTTAATTTAGGTAATTTTATTTATTTTTTGCTCCGGTGGTGGTTCATCTTCTTCAATGCAAACTGCGGAAATTGGCAATTTAATCGCATCGACGATTAAGAACCGTCTCAAAGTACCGTCAGTCGGGGTGACAGAAAATGATGCCGAACATTCAACATGTTTAAAGATGATATAAAAGACGAATCCGAATTTATTGCAACGCACATAAACAGCTGTAACTTTTTAACAACGGTAACAAATGACTTGAAATTTTCAGAGAAGATTTTTAGACAAATTTTTAGTAAGACAACAATAGACCAAGGTTCAATGGCAAACTAATACCCACTTTTCAATTAGGGAATCAAACAGCTGTCTTTAAACTTTGCACAATTGCGGAAAAAGTCCATCCTCAGAATTTCTTGAGGTTCTTTTCGAAATTTTTAGAGCTCTATGAGCTCTTTTGAAATTCTTCTCAGAAGTCCTCTGGAATTATTTTTAGAACTCTTCTTGACTGTTACTCAGGGCACCTTGGAACTGAAATTCTCTTAGAGTTTCAGAAGAATTTCCTCAAAAAAAATGTTCCTGGAATGAGCTAGAAATTATCGGTACTTCCTTGAAATTTTCCTCAAAATCCCTTTGGCATTTCACTCAAAATTTAATTTTCTCAGTATTCTTTTCGGAATTATCTAGGAACTATCTGTAGGATTCACTAAAAATTACACGCAGAATTTTCTTGAAATACTCCCCAGAAATCATTTGGAACTGTCCTCAGAATTCAATATCCTTGAGGTTCTTCTCGGATTTTTTTAGAACTCTCCTAAAAGCTCTTTTGAAATTCTTCTCAGAAGTCCACTGGAATTATATTTAGAATACTTCATGATTTTTTCTCAGAATTGGAATGAGCTAGAAATTATCCTCGGAATTCGCTTGAAATTTTGCTTAAAATCTCTTAGAAATTACACTCAAAATTTGATTTTCTCGGTATTTTTTTCGAAATTGTATTTGAACTATCTGAAAAATGCACTAAAAATTATCTGCAGAATTTTCTTTGAATTCTCCCCAGAAATATTTTGGAACTGTCATAAGAATTCAATATTCTTGAGATTCTTCTCGGAATATTTTAGAACTTTTTTTTTTCTCAGAACACTTTGGAACTGAAATTCCCCTAAAGTTTCAGAAGAATTTCCTCTGCATTCTCCAGAAAGTCTTCCCAGAATGAACATGAAATTATCCTCGGAACTCCATTGAAATTTTTCTCAACATCCCTATGGAATTTCATTCAAAATTTGATTCTCTCGGTATTCTTTTCGAAATTATCTTGGAACTATCTGCAGGATTCACTAGAAATTGTTCGCTGAATTTTCATGGAATCATCCCCAGAAATCTTTTCTTTTAGAACTGTCCTCAGAATTCAATACCGTTGAGGATCTTCTCGGAAATCAAGTTTAAGTAGTCCACCCATTCACCAAATCGTTGTACTTTTTCTATCATAAATGTTCAATAAAGCTTGCCCCTCCATTCACCAGAACTGTGCAATTTTTACATCAGGCCTCTCCATGCAGCAGATTGTTGTAAATCTTACACCAGAAAATTTCAATACAAACTTGCCACCAGAAAATTTCATTTTATCAGAACGATGCAAATTTACCACCGTTAATGTTCAATAAAAAATGCTTCTCCAGTCTTCTGATTGGTTCAGATTTCCTTTTTCCATTTTTTTTTTCATCAGACATTTTCAATATAACTTGCTTTTCCTATCATCAGAATGTTGCAGGTTTTCCACCAAATAAAGCTTGCCCCTATTTTTAGATTTTTCATCATAAATTTTCAGTACAGAAGCTTCCCACCAAACATCAGAATGGTGCAAATTTTACACTAGAAATTATTATTAAAGTTTGTTTCTCTATTCAGCACCAGGATGCAAATTTAAG